TCACAGTGTGGGTCCCCCTAGCAGCACCCACCTGAGCATGATCCCACAGATGCTAAATGAGCAGGCCATGCAGCTCCACTCAGTATTTCTCAGCCAGATCCAGGACTCTCCACTTTGCAGTGGTAGGAGGTCTGTCCCAAACACTCAAAGTCTGGCTCCAAGTCATGACAACCTCACCTGAATCTCTGCAGGGGGAGCCTGGAAGTCTGCATGTTTGTCAAGTATCCCTGCCCATCTGCATGCTCACCCAAGTGAGAACTGGCAGAAGAGTGAACAGATGAGCTCTGGGCTCAAGTTTCAGGCCCATCACTTACTAGTTAAATTCATTTGGACGAAGTAAACATTAGCTAGACCTCTGAATAGTATATCCAAAGCATATTAGGACCTACCTTTTATAGATGTAGGGATCAAATGTGGCAAAGCACTGCAATGGAGGCCCAGGGAGAACAAGTACTTGCTGAGTGGTACCATCCAAGAAGCACCATGCTTAGCTTTGCAAACTTGCTTTCCATGATTTTTGTTGTTGTTTATGAATTGGAACCAATGAAGTGGCCTCACTAGAAACATGGTCTGTCCCTCCCCATACAGGCATAGTTCTCTATCTTAAGACTGCATCCATGGGCTATTGGATGTGCCCTGGTCAGGGATTCCACCCTCAATCAGCTCCTGCATGCTAAGACACCCGTGGGCAGTGAGGAGGCTCTGCACTCAAAGCCTCTGACTGGCTGCTGATTGTGTTTTCTACTCCTTATCTATTGACACTGACAAAAATTTCTAAGCATACAGGGTAGAGGTTTCCTTCCTAAGAGACTTCCAGATGTCTGGCTGCAAGAAGTCACTGTGAGTTACTGCCCCAACCCCTTGTGTCTTTGCAGAATTAGAATCCAGTGCCAAATGTTTGACTTCTGCATAACCAGGAGGTGTACCTGTGTGCTGTGGGAAATCTCTGTGCAGCAGCTTAGGACTGTCTGAACAGTAACAGCCACTGAAAGCTATTCATCAATAATGTCTGCTTGGGCAAGATAATTCTGACTTGTTAACACAGTCTTATAAAGATTCCCTACAGCATTAAATCTCTGCTGCCCTAATAGGTGGTGTGATAAGGTTTACTCTTGAGCTTTTTCCTTTTCCCCTTCAGGAAGATGTGGAGCTCAAAAATTCATTCAGCAGGGCCAGGGGGAATAGCACAAAGGCATGGTGCCTGCCTGCAAACATGAGGTTCTGAGTTTGATTCCTGGTTTAAAAAAGAGAAGATACTAGTGAAAAATGCATTCTGCTGTGTTACCAATGTAGGAGCACTGCTTTTGCTACAGGGCCACATTACGAATAGCACTTCCAACTGCTTTAAAATTATTACCATGTTTATTGATACCGCACAGATGATAACCCGTGTGCTGAGTTTAGTTATGTACTTTGTACCCCAGCTGAGATTTTAAAGCTTTCTTGGGCCTTGTATCATGTCCAAAGAGGTTGAATTGGCTTCTGCCTAAACCATAGAAGCAGAAGCCAGTTGGTTTGGTAGATGCAGTAGAAGGAAAAGGATATAGGAAAGTGAAGACAGACAAACTGCTGAAGGGTAGAGGGTTCTAGAGCTACTCAGTGTTGAAATCCATTATCCTTGTTTGTTTGGGCTTCTCTCCTGGCTTTATTTGACCTGCTTTCCCTTAAAGATTTGAGTTCAACCATAATCTGTCAGTTGGAATTTCAGTGGAATCTTATATTTCTGGCTCATTATAACAAATTGTTCTCTTAGGGTTAGGGTTAGGGTTAGGGTTAGGGTTAGGGTTAGGGTTAGGGTTAGGGTTAGGGTTAGGTTTCACTTCTTAAATAAACTGCTGACACCCAAATATTTGTCTCAGAGCCTCTGCCAGAGAATCCATATTCTGAGAGGATTCTACTTAAAAATTTCAAGCTTAGTGTAACAAAGGCCAAGAAGAAAATAAAATTTTAAAAATAGGAGAAAAATCTAATGTCCTATCCTTTCAATATTCTATTCTTCTATAACTCTGATCACTGGTAAAAAGAAAAGTCAAAAACTCAGCAAGACTGTTAGCCATTAAGATCAATTTAGTTATGAGAAAAAATATATATGTATAGAAAGTGAACTAAAGATTTGGTCTGTACACTAACATTAGTGTTTCCTGGCAGAAAATCAGATTAGGATGTAGAGCCCTAGAAAAATACATAACAACCTCCACAGTGTCACATATAATCAGTTTTATTGCCAGGTAAGAAATTCATATTAATATAGTGAATACATATGTTTACAAATAAACATTCTTAGAAAACAAACAAATGTTTTTCTCTTCATTGTAGGAAGTATTATTGGTATCATAAACTCTGCAGTTGTGACAAGTATTAACACAGGTTTACTTGCAGAACATACGATTACTAAAATATTTGCACATAAAATATGCTCCATTTACACAAAAAAAAAAAACTGGAGGAATTAGATGGGGATGCCAGGCAGAGCCCAAGGCAAATGGAGGCTGAGACACTCTGGGAAGGCAAAGGGAAGCTGGACTGTTCCCACTGCATTGGAAACTGGGGGACAGCCCATGGGAAGAAGAGCCTAGTACCAGAGCACAGAATGAGGAGAACGCAGTCTCTGCTTTGATCTGGATTTTCTTTTCTAAGTCTCCTCACTTAGCTGTGGGACCCTTGCCTTGGTAATGGCAGTTATACACAGTTCCATAGATTGCCCTTTCTGTCCATGTCATGAGGTCTGTCTCCACTTCCACAAGGAAGTCAAAGGATAAACAGCCTTCTCTTTCCAAACTTTCCTCCTTGATTCATCTCCCTAAGCCATTTCCTTCAGTGGAAGGTGGAAGTCCTTCAGTGGAAGGACTCCTTGAGATGTCCTTCTTGGACGGTACCACTAGGGAAGTACTTGTTCTTTCTAGGCTCCCATCATGGCTACATCTTATGTAACATGCTAGGCTATGTCTTCACTGACAAAAGTAGATCTGCCCATTCCAAGGATCCAGGTTCACTGGATGGAGTTTACTCCATAAAACAGGAGCATGAGGGAAAAATAAAACACTACATATTCAGGGACCAAGAAAAACCCTTAGTCAGAGTTAAGATAAGGATGAGATAAAGCGGGTCAGGAGCAAAGGCCAAAGGTAAGCTGAGAAAGAGACAAGAATCATAGAACCTTTGAGCTGGAGGGAGCCTCAAAGATAAACCCAGTATTTCCTGAAGTGTGAGCTGTGGACCACTAATTTATGCAAAAGGATGGTAGGTGGAGTAAAGGGATCTAGCACTATTTAACACTGGCTCACCTGAACAAAGATTCCTTTTTCTTTTACCTTTCAGTTTATCTGATTAATCCAAGGAAAATCTCCATTGGGTACTGTATGTTGAACACTATAACACCTTCTAATTTCTTTTTAATAGTATAAGCTTGTGCCAGACTTTAGGGTGTGAATCTTTTCACAGGTATCAGTATTAAGCTAGAATTTAATCACTTCTGCCTTGTCTTCGCACTAATTCTTTCTGCTTACAGTAAATAATACTGGTTTTCTAATACTGGTTTTCTGTGATGAAGGTAGGAAATTGGCCTTCTAAAATCATAAAAATTAAAAATGAATCAATTTAGATACAAATATTGTGAGGATGATATACAGAGTGCTTACATATCTTGCAGGTCTGTAGCTGACTAGCGTTAAAGAAACACTGACCATGCCAAGCTCTGTTGACTCCACTTTGGGGTTTAACATGAAGGGGTCTCTGACCCCTGCTACATCTTGGACCACATCTCTATACATGGAAACCTTACATAGTAGGTACTTTGGGAGATTTCAATTTAAAAAATAGGCAGAGGTGTTGATATTTCAAAAGCTTGAAAAGCTTGACCTAGCCCCAGTTCCCCAAGCTTCAGATAGGAAACTAAGGCCCAGAGAGATCAAGGCATTGTCAGTGTCTTCGTATTTGTATGGAGTGAGGTGAGGAATAAATATCCAGTTGTGCTGATTTCATGATGCCAGAGTGGAGAGATGGGAGGCATAATGTTGCAAGAAATGTTCTGTTCTTTGATAAGATCTTTTGCAGTTTCTGATGCCAAAGGAACTGTGGGATTTTTGGAGTTCCTATTAATTAGCTAAGATGTTCAGGAGCTAGTTGGAAACTTCACACTTGATATGATACTCTCTTCTCCACCTATATACTAAACAAACAGGACTTTTAGGAAAATTGCTTTTGTTGGGGTACCCCAGGATTATTGGATATGAAAACCAATCTGAAAGTCAACTTCAGGAAATTCTGGGTGAGTGATGAAGGCATGGGGTGTCTGGGGAGGTGGTTCAGAAGGACTGTGGGGACAGTGGGAGTGTCCTTAGATATCGCTGACGCTGCAGCAGCCCCCTCAGAGGTGTTTTGGGCTGGGCTCACCTACACAGGAAGAATGGAAACAACTTTTACTACTGCAGAAAAACAGGAAGGAGAAAGGCTAAGAGGACACAGGTTGCACTTGAGAAACAAGACTGTCATCAAACAACAGCAACACATTGAAGGCACCACCCACGCTTATAACATTTTCAGTCCAAAGCAGTTGAAGTTTGGCAGCGGCTGCAGGAACGCACTGAAGGGGACAGGAAATCAGAGATAGACAGTTAGTAGAGGACTTGTTTCTGTCGCTGTTTCAGGCCTTCGAGGTGAGGGGAAAAACACCAGAAATCAGAATCTTCTGGGTCCTCATCTCATTCCTGTTGATTTTTCCAACTGTATATTTTGTTGTTGACGTAAATAACATTTTGATTTCCCAAGTCTTGAAGATTTTCGACAAAAGTTAATTTACTGTTCTTGTCTGTTTTACAGTGAGCCTATATTTTATTTGTCCCTTTTAAAACTTAGTAAGTATTCTCTCTGGATCCTCTTCCCGCCATAAGTCTATCCCTCCCATTTCCATAGTCATGGTCTATGGGAATTCTCTAAATGCTTTCTCATCACTGCCGGTGGGTTTGGGGTCTATTATTTTTGTGAGTTTGAGTGTTTGTGAGTTTTTTTTTTTTTTGCTTCCAACATTAATATGAAAAGTACTATTGATACAATGGTTGGGGTCCAGTTATTGTCCCTCTGTTGTCACCATCTTGTGTCCACAGCACTTCTTGGGATTAGAAAATGCTTAGAATGTGAGCATATTTTCCCCAGGTAACTCCTCTTTGAACTCCACCCTTGTTCTTTCTCTATCCCCGCCCCACCAAGAAATAGACAGCATTTAGTAAATGGTATATGTGCTCCAATGGACAATTTTTCTAAATTGTGCTACTTGTAGTTTTTTCTTCTTCTTTTTTTAAATCATGGATTTCAGTTTCAAGTTAGGAGAAAAAGAAAAATTAGCCCCATGGTTTGGGCCTGTGAGTTGGCCACCTTGAGCCTGAAGCTGAAAGACTGCTTCAGTTTCCCCTTTGCTGTATTGCTGAATGTCCATGCTTCAGTTCTTCCTCCACCTGATGCATATTAGGCATGACCCAGAAAAAGATTCTGTATCACCAGTAGATCCTTAATTGGTTCCCATTGAAAGTGAGCATAGATGTGTGGTGTGGGAGCGGGGAAAGTATGGGCCAGGATGTTTTTTGCCTCTCTAAGTTGAGTGTGGTCTCCAGGGTGCTCCCTGTGGTGACAGCTCAAACAGTCACTTCTGTTTTGCTGTTGGTGATGAAGTATGGCTGTGTGGACGGGTAGTGTTGGGAGCGAGTTCCCAGGGGGTCACTGGAGCCCGACTCTGCTGCACCCAGCTTGCCCTTGTTGCCATAAGCCTGCCGCCGGAGGGACTGCTCATTGGGGTCCCAGCCCTTAAAGTTGGTGGTAGAGTTGTAGGCCAGGGGATGCTGGGGCATCTTGTTGGTGCGGGACTTCTGTCCATTCTGCTTGGCAGGCCCATGCTCAGGGCTGAAAGCCCGGGGCTCATCCTCCACTCTTACTGGATGAAGAGGCAGGTTCCCCTTGGCAGCCAGTTCGGCCAGGTGCCTTCGCTTGGAGTAGAAGTCATCATTGACCTTGTCAGCTGTATAGTGGAACAGATGGATGGACAAGGGCAGGAGAGAAAGCAGAAAGAGAGTTAGGACTAGAAGGTCAACCCAAGAGAGCATAAACATGGGCCAACAGTACAACAACAAAACTCCATGCAACTCCATCTGGTACAAGACAGAGAAAAAGGGACTGTCATGTCCTTTCCACAAACAAAAACAGGGACCAAGCAGGTTAAGGACATGCCAGAGGAAATTGCTAGATCCCTCCAAGTAAACATTTCTCCTACCTGAGTTCCACCTCATCTTCTTCTAGCCTTAGCTTCCCTACAGAACACAAGCATAGTTTCTTCATTACTAAGCAGTACATTCCCATTGGAGAAAATATTGAACCTCTTAAGAAAAATTAATGTCTATCACTTACCACTCAAGACAGACAATGTTAACCTGTTGAGCATATTTTCTTCTGGTTGTTTTAATAAGCAAAGTTTAATTTGGGGCTTTTATTGGTTTGTTTGGTTGCTTTTACTTGTGATTTTTAGCATTAAGCAGACCTATGTTCAAATCCCAACTGCATCACCATCTAGCAGCTTCCATTGCCATCAGCTTCTGCATAAAGTACTTACAATAGAAAGTATATTTTATATGGTTAAGTGATTTGATGTATGTAAAGTTCTTAGATGTTAGCTATAATCATTATCATCTGCGTCATTATAAAAAACTATTTTAATTCCTCCAGTCATATTTGAAGCATTTCTCCATCTCTTTATACTAACAAGCAGGATTTTAATACCTATGTGATATTCCATTGAGTAGAATGATCAAAACTCATCAGTCCCCCCACTGATGAACATTCAGGTTGCACTTGTGTCTTACTATCATAAATAAGGCTGGAATGATAAAATTTTGGCCTAAGTTTCTATATATCTGGAGTTTTACTAAAAATATCTTCTTAATCTACCTCACAGATTTGCAAACTATAGCCTACAAAATACCATCAAAACTAGCTTCTGTGTTTAAAAATAAAGTTTTAGTTAAACAAAGCCACACCCATTCACACATGTATTTTTTGTCGCTGCTTTTGGTCTGCTGGAGCTACAGTACGGTTGAGTACTTAGTGACAGACACTGGTATGGCTAGAAGATCCTGAAATATCTATATCCAATGTTTTAAGAAAATACTGCCTAACACCTGATATGGATTACAAAGTGGAATTATATGACCAAAGATTTTAAATATTGTTAAGGTTCATGATATGCATTACCAGCTTCTCTTCAAAAGGACTAAATCAATTTTCACTATTTCACCCCTTCTCTCCTGCAATGAATGATGTTACCCCCTCTTCTTTTCTGATTTTTCTTTATTCCTTACTTATTTTATGATTCTGAGACTCTTTATTTTCCATTATTCTTTGCAATTTTAAATTATGAGATGCTAGACAATTTTAAAATTAATGTCTTAATGATAAACTTTTGAAATTACATCTTTCAGGAAATAGGGTTACCTGTTGGTCCTTCCTCCACATTTCTGACATCCCCAAGTGTTACTAGATGAGCTTATATAAATTCACAAAGACCAGCATTGTTCCATGTTTCTTTCTAATTTGACCTTTTCAATACAAAAATGGGAAAAATGGGTAGACTCCTGCTTGATGTATTTGAGACCTGTTAAGTTCAGGCGCATGAAATGATTTAACTCAATTACCCAAGCCCAATGGCTGAACCAGAGTGGAACCTAAGTTCCATAAACATTTTTTGATGCACATCTGAAAGGTGATAGAGAGAAACCTTGTGTTCTACTTCTTCCCTCTGTGTCTGCAGCGGACATCACTCATCGATCACAGAGCTGTTTCTGGTAAGCTTGGTCTGTGCTTATACTTTTCAGCACAATATTCCAAGAAACCATGTAATAACTTTCTAGGTTTACTATAATGCCAAGTATGTTTCCTTATATGCAATTAATTATCTGTGATGGAGCCTTTCAAGAAAAAGTTCCTCTTTCCTTAAATTCTAAAACTATCTGAAAGTATCTATGTCAAAGTCAAAAGGAATCATAGAGTTTTCTGCTAAAGATGAGAGAAATATATATTCTTGAAGTGTTGTGAATTACTTAAGACAGCAACAGTTAATAGTAGGGCTGAGTAGGGCCCCATTGTCTTGTCTGCTAAAATAAAGTTCTAGATTTCCAGGGCCATGATATTTCAACAACAGGATATTCTGTGATTCTTGCTTATGTATTGCTTTCAAATTCATCCATCCAGTTACCCTTTAGGAGTACTCCCTAGCATCTCCCTCTCTCTCAAATAGATGACTCTATCACTCCTCATAATTTTTTTTCAGATTTTTTCTTTACCTCTTATAAGGGACCAGCCCATTACCCAGTGGCTCACCTCAGAAACTTGGGAACTACTGTTGACCTTATGTTGCTATTCTCTTTCAGCATGACTAAAGCACTGTGTGCTTCCAGTTATGATATACCTAATGCTTCTCTAACTGTCCCCTTTCTGCTGCTCAATTCCTTTTTTTGGTAGGAGGGATTGATCCCATGGACTTCAAACTAAGCTATAACCCCAGTTCTTTTTAAAAAAAAATTAAGTTTATTGGTACATTATATATATATATATATATGTATGTATATATATACATATATATAT